GGTCCTCTGCAAGAGCAGTCAGTGCTCTTAACCGCTGAGCCATCTCTCTAGCCCTGAAACGTGAATATTCTATTAATATAATTATAAAGACATTAAATTATTTATTTTTGGTCTTTTTGAGACGGTTTCCCTGTAGCTCCAGTTGGCCTGGAACTCAGAGTTCCGCCTGCCTCTACCTCCTGAGTGCTGGGATTAAAGACATACACTGCCACGCCTGGCCTAAGACCTATTAAATTCTTAACCTGGACAGTTAGGATAGAAAATGTTCCTGTGGTTCCCTTGGGACTATGCTCTTGAGGCCCTTTCTGCTACAACCCCCGCCCCCCCACATCTGCATGGAACTCTGCTGACTTTGCAGGTTGGCCTGGGTGACACATGGACCTCAACCTTCTGGTCACAGCAGCCCCCATTTCCAGAGTCTGGCAGGTTTTCTGCATGAAACTTGATCTTTGATTTGCCACCTTTGTGCAGAGGGCACATTTCTCCCTGGGGACACATGTTCCCTTTGTGGGGCTGGACTGGACCCCCCCACTGCCCAGCACCACACAGAACCAGGTAACCTTTTACCCAGTAAATGAAAACAGAATGCCTAAAGTAGAGGTGGTCAGTGGCCTCCTCCTGCCCTTGTGCAGAACAGTGCTGTCTGCCTGTACAGATGGGGCTCAGGACCTACCTGTAGATCTCATCTTGGTGTAGCCTTCACTGCTGCCCTGCCTGGATTTGAAAGTGGAATTTTATCAGGTCATCTTGGCTCAGTGCCAGGCCTGAGTGGTCAGAGTATGTTAGGAGAACTACTTCCTTGAGGAGACACACCAATGACAAACCAAAGTAGGATTCAACTTGGGGATCCAATGAGTTTATTGGCTCCCTTACAGAGCCTAGGTGACCCCAAAGCAGCCACACCACCAGAAAATCTCAGCCTAGCATGGATGACTTCGGTAGCTTCATAGCTGGAACACTCCCTTCAGTTAACTACCTCCAGCACCTCCTGAGACCACAAGGCCACGTGCACTTAGGACAGAATTACATACAAATGACCAAGAAATGAGGAGGGAGCAGCTAGAATCTTTCGAATATCAACAGTCAACAAACCTGAACTTCCAAACAGCCCCAACTGCTCTAATGAAAATGGTGGCTGCTATGCTTGGAAGATAGTGCTGTACACTAGCTGCCTGCCCACACCTAAGAATAGGGGCCTCATAAAGCACAGTGATGCTGTGGAGTGGGTAGCAGAAGGGGGACAGCCCTCTGTGCCCAGCAAGTCATGGTCCAGGCTGGTTGTTCAGTCATTCACCTTCTGCCTGAGTCCCTGGATCAGCAACCACAGCTGGAGTTTCACTTAGCCTTCCTCATCAGTGGTTCCAATCTCTGGGCATTAAGAATGACTTTGTCCTTACATCTGCCAGTGCCCTGCCTGGGGTGGGGTTGGGGCTGCCCAAAAGGTCCTGCTCAAATGCCACAGCACTGTCAGGGCTTTGCAGAGCCACATCAAGAGCCACAGGACCCACCATGAGGGATAGGTAGACAGGGTGGACAGGAAGTCAATGGTGTTCCTTGACTAAGATCCCCTGTATGTCTGGGAGGTTCAGATGGAAGCGTATTAAGACCCAAGGAACCTGCCATGAGCCATTGGCAAGGGAAGGTACCTCTAGGCTCATGCAAGTTCCCCATGGGTCCTTACTGCTGCTGGCACCTTTAATGTGCTACTGACCCTCAGGCAGGATATCCCTTTCTGAAGTGGATTGTTGCCCTAAAGGGCACCAGTCTTAGATAAGCAGGATCCATGGTGCCGCCTGCCTTTTGGGCAGTTCTGTGAGAGCCTAGGCCTGGTGAGGGTCCTTACACCCAGAAAGCCACAACACAAAACCTGTGATGACCAAGGACAGGAGGTACATCAATGATACCACTGGAATTAGGGACTTTATAAAAGAACCTAAATTGAAAAACCAAATCAAAGACAAGTGTGGGCATGCCCAGTCAGCCTTAGGAGAAACAACTGGCCCATCAGACTCAGGACAGCCAGAGCAGGCCCATGGGCTAGCTCAGCTCACAGCTGCCCTTGTGACTCTCGGGTCTCACTGACCTGCCTGCAGCCAATGACCTTGTCGGCACCTGCCAGCCACCAGCATCTGTGAAGACAGGATTTATGCTTCTGGGGCTAGGAAGGGCCCGCCAGACTCTGGGATGTCAGTGCAAAGAGATAGCCTTACCTTGGGGTCCTTGGGCACCAGCAGAGGCAGGAGACCCCTGAGAAACTGTGGAGGCATGAGCCTCACTAACACGCCTCCAGCTGTCACCACCTCTTGAAGTCACCCCAAATGACAGACTCCCATCTTACTTCTGCACCATGGGTCAAGATTTGGAAGGCCCCTTACAAATCTGTGTCCCAGCTGCAATGCCTCAAGTCCGATGTGCCTCTGGTGTGGACTGGGGCTACCAGGCTTTACTCACCCACAGGAGATCTGCAGCAAATTTCTGTGACCATCAAGGCTTCCCACATTCTATCATATTCATACATGTAAATTCACAGGCTCTTTTTTCATTGTTTCTGCAATTCCTTACTGCCTAGATCTACCTATACATCCAGTAAAAAAATGGATTTTTCATCCTCAGTTCCACCATCACACTAGGTGAGACTTTCACCTTCTAGTAACAGGGGCTCCTAGTTTCCTCCAAAACCCAAGGCCTCTTTCTGCACCAGTGTCACCAACCTTGTCCTCCTGTGACCTGGAATTTGGCCTCTTGTGAGAACCCAACAGGATGAGCCGATGACCCTGTTAAGCTGCAGTCTGTGATGTTCATTGCAGGCTTGTATTTCCTGACATGAATTAAACATAACCTGAGCACCCCCTCCCATTTCCCACCACCATGTTATTAAAGCCATAAAGTACTTCTGAGGTGCAGTTGCCCTATACAGTACCCCAGGGATCAGCATTGCCGAGGCTGCTGCATCTTGAAACCACCCATGGGGTTTTACTTTCTGTGGACTGAGCTTTTGTCTCAGCAGTGCTGGAAATTGCCTCCCTGGCCAGCGTTCACCCTGGCCTCTGACTTCAGAGGTCCCATACCTATTGTGACTTTGTCTTCGGAGCCTTCCAGCCTAAGGTCCTGCAGAGCTGTGCCCAGCCCCCTTTCTTGTGCTTGTTTTAGCAGGAAAAACAACAGCGTTATGGAACAGGTCTTCACAGAGC